AAACTCAAAAAGTTCGGGAGTGGGTTCAGTTTATATATATACAGAATCCAGGAAAGATAAATAAATATTATTTTATTAACCGAATACTATTTTATTACTCTAACTACATATATCTAAACCAATTGGTTTACAGTTCACCAGCTTTATCTATTTTTTGTTTCGTTTTCTCATCTTTTTCGCAAAAAAAGTAAGGATATTACATAGAAAAAAGACTGCCTAAGTTTTTTTACTTTACTTAATCTAAAGAAAATGAGTTTTTGTCACAAACTCTAACTCCTCCCCCCCTTATCTTAGCAACCCGATGTCTTAGATCTTTGATATGTCAAACTATGAATTCTGTTAGATCAAATATTCTAAATTTAAAATATCATCGGTTTACACCATCTGGTGCAAAGATATAGGGATTAGGAAATATACGTTTTTGTGGCAAAAACTCAATTACTCTCATTGAAAATTTGTTGCAAACAGATCTATTTTGATAATCTTATTTCTTTTTCGATCCATATACATTTACTTATACATTGCATCCGGTTTAATCAATCATGCAATCTACAGAGTTGCTTATTAAAAACGCATCTGCCGGAAAACAAGGATAGAAGAGAAAAAGTTCAAAAGGAATTGAGTCTGATTTTCTAAACCTTATATCTTTGGATTCCAATGTCGTAGACCTTAGATATTTCAAACTATGAAATCTGTTAGATCAAATAATATAAATTTGAAATATCAAGGATTTACGACATTGGGTTCCACCAGAGAGATAGGGATTATAAATTCAGAGTTTGTGGCAAAGACTTAATTCCTTTATGTTTAATTGGTCAACTGTGATTGCAGCTTGTGCGACGAGGACTGGACTGTAAAATCGACTTGATGCATGTAATTATTTAAAATAAATTTTATTTTTGCTAGACACATGAAAATACTTTTTTTCTTTAGTTCTCTGTTCTTGTTTTCTCGTTTTTTTCTGACTGAAGCTCAGGATTTAAAGGGTTCCTATTGGCTGAAGGGAGGAAGAATGGCGGACGCTTATTGGTCGCGGAGTAGCGGGAAATCAGGGAAAGAAATGTTCAGTTTCTTGGTATTTGGAGGATTCAAACATGGATGCATTTTCAACGAATTTTTAACGTTGAGAGCTGGTCGTGAAATGTTTAAAAATAGGAAACGGATTAAGCTTATGTTCAAAGGCCATAATAAAGGTTATTTTTTGATTGCATAATGTTCAGAACTCACTCTTTGCGAACTATAGATAGTACATGTAGACAGTAAAATCCTATTAAATTATAACTTACACTGCTGTAAATGGACCATTAGATTTCAAGTTAAAACACCTAAACTTTCTCTTCAGAAGAAGCAATGCTATTACTGATTATAATCTCAATATTTAGAAAATCTATTTCAAAGATATCTCAAAAATCAAGTGCATTTGCAGGTCTAAAATCAAACGCAAATTTTTTTTTAAAGACTTTAAGATGCTTCTTAACAGTATTTCTTTGAATGTTAAATTTTGTAACTTTTCATTAACAGTCATATTGTACAGTCATATTGTACAGTCATATTGTACAGTCATATTGTACAGTCATATTGTACAGTCATATTGTACAGTCATATTGTACAGTAATATTGTACAGTCATATTGTACAGTCATATTGTACAGTCATAAGACATATTGTAGAAAAAAATCTAAGTCCAAAGTCAACTGCCTGACTGACAAGAGATACGGCCTAAAAAATTCTTTTTATTTGAACTTTTAAGGATTCCACTTCAAAAACCCATTTATAGGCAGTACTTAAACAGTTCTCTTATGGCTTTGAATTTTGCTAAGACGTGTACGTCTGTTAAGGATAACTCACAAAATTTGGAGACCTTGACATTAACAGTTTAATAATTTGTTTTCAGATATTCTTGTTCATTTAAAATGCTGTGTTGATGACACTTCAGTGATATGAAATTAAGCAATTAAAAAGATTAAAATTAAGCAATGAAAAGATTAAAATTATGCAATGAAAAAGATTAAAATTATGCAATGAAAAAGATTAAAATTAAGCAATGAAAAAGATTAAAATTAAGCAATGAAAAAGATTAAAATTAAGCAATGAAAAAGATTAAAATTAAGCAATATAAAAGATTGTAACACTTTACGAATTTCAGGTAAAAAAGTTAGTTTTTCAGACAGAAAAATCTAAAATTTTGCTAAACAGGGGGGCTCTGCCCCCCTGCAATCCCCCGCCTTGTTCGCTTGTTGCCC